CAACGGACTGTGAACTCACTTTGTATTAATTAAACTCAATGTAATGGCATTTTCTATATTGAAATGAATAACCAGTGATCTGGAAATTCATTTAGACCATTAGGTTAATTACAGAAACTGATGGAAGTTTTATCAGACAATTAAAATTAAGGAACACGAACAATGTGGGACAGATTTATAAGCATTTGTACCACCTCAATCATTTTTGCTGAATTCCACCACCACTTCTTACAAAATTGTAATCAATATATCAATTAAAAAATGGGCCATCAACTTCATTTGCCCTTGAGTATGATACAATAAATATCTGATTTCTGCATTTTCATACTTTTTCTTCTTTTAATTCTATCACTTTATTACAATATGAAAGATTTATTTGTTTCTAATAAAAAATGAAAATTTATGGAAAAAGAGCATGTATATTTTGGAGCTGATAAGCATGCTTACTGAAGATGAAACCACTCTAACATTTAGAAAATGTAAGCCAAAATTAACGTCAGTTTAAAATGTACCCACTGAAGCTAAGGCAAAATTCTCTTTTATGGGTATGCAAAACATTCGGAAAATACAGGCACTTATCTGTGCATCATTCTGAACAACGGCATGTAGCGATTTACTATTTTACCATATATGTTAGCTATTCAGTCCAGTGAACTGTCCCTTTAATACATGCTCAGAAAAATCTACTGGTAGTTACATACCTGATAACTCAAGTATCTTTATTTTTACTTGGAGCTAAATAAAGCCTAAAAGTTACAAAGATCAAAGTTCTGATTTAGAGAGTGAAATATACTTAGCTGCCTTTGAACTTGTATTAAAATTTGTAATCTCTCTCCCATTGCCTTCCACGGGACCTGGGTATGCACAACAGTAGATTTTTGAAAAATGTGATGCACAGCTTTAGGCTGGCTTCCTCGCTACACCAGCCAGTGCTTAGTGAGCCCCAGAACGTTGATTAGCTACTCCAGAGCACAGAAGTTTCCTACTGGCAGGTGCGTCTCCTTTTCCATCCCCTGCCATGAAAGGGCAGGGGTGGTTATCAAGAAAGCAGAGCCAGGCTCTTCACAGAGGCACAACACAACAGTGGGAAGACGAGACAAAAAACATGACTTGAAAGAAGAGAGGTTTCCAATGTTAGGACATTCAAGCATTGGAACAGATGACCCAGAAAGGTGGTGCAGTCTCCGTCCTTAAAGGTGCCCTGGGCAACCTGGTCCTTCCAACCTGAATTATTCTATGATTCTACAACTTCATGTCTTCCTTCTTTCCCATGTTTTGGCTCTCATTAACTTCTATTTCATTCACATTTTCAGGCACTTACACATTATAGAGAAATGGGGAAAATAGGCACTAAACAGTTTTTAAAAGTCCTTGCATAAATTCAGATTGGTATTTTTGCCTTTTTTAACCATACATACCCAGCTATATTACTGTCCTTTGTAGAACAGTGATACAGATATTCAGTGACAGAACTTGTTTCTTCTTTTGAATCTTCCTTTTGTCCAGCAGGGTCTTAATATTCCCATGATTCTCGAGCGGCTTCAATTTGGAAAAGTTCCAAAATTTTTCTTGGTACATTTCTTATTTAAAAGTAGACACAAATTTCTTCAGGATTTAAAAATTTCCTGTGGAAGCAACTAGTCTAAAGAAGTGGGGGCAAAAAGAGACTGTCCGTTACGTGCAGCCAAACTGTTTGATTCACTAAGTTTCAGTGAGATATCACGGGCCTCCAGGAAGCTTCCAGTGAATGCTCACTTACTCGCTGGGACTTGGTGTACTGTAATCTTTACTTTCTGGATATATCTCCTTCCAATACTTGTCTACATTCTGCATTAGGATAATGATGATGGATTTAACTGAAATCACTTGGTACTAGCTCTGTCCTCGAGATGCCAATGCTATGGGAACCTACAGCAGCCGAGATGAGACCGTGAGCTTCCTTACTTCAGTTGTGTCAGTAAGGCAAAATCTGTCCCACCACGGGATGTGAACACATTTGCATGCTGAAACTAAGCTTTCTACATAACAAATTATCTATTCCCAGAATAGATGTGCAAATGAAAAACTGATCCAGGTCCCATCTTCTCCTTCAGCGTAAGAGAACAGATGAGGCATGAGAGACTATTGCTACTGATTTGTTCCACTGCTTGCAGAAGAAACAGCTCATTTCTTTCTGTATTATGCGAAGGGCCAGAAGTGATGGAAGGAAGCAGAGCCATGTTTCCAGCTCCTGACATATTCAGAGGTGTAACTAATCACTGTACTGGGAAATGTACAATGTGATACATAAAATATATCCTGGGGAAATAAAACATCAGAAGGGA